GGGCGGCGGCGCGGGCGCGGCGCGCCGGGCCCCGCTGCGCCGCGCCGTGCTGGCGCAGCTGCTGCACTACTGCCGCAAGCTGCTCGCCGTGCCGCTGCCGCAGCCGCAGCCCGCCAACGTACGTACTCTGCGCTTTGAAAATAAATGACTGCATAGTTGACGCTGTGTCTGGGCAACCAGCTGCCACGTAACTTGTAGCGGGGCGGGCTCGATTCCCGCACGGAGCAACTCTGTGTAATCCGCAAATTATTGTTTCGGGTAATGGTTGTAAACGCACCCGACACAGGAGAAAATCCTAGTGTAAGGTAACGTTAAAAAACCATACTCTATAGAGTCTATACTTTATCTCATATACTGGAATAAATACTCCACGAGTTACCAAACTTTACTGCGTTTGGCGCCGAACGCGGTAACCTTTCAATCTCGATAAACGTAAAATAAACTCGTTTCTAGCACCCAGAACAGTGTAATGGTCCAAAAAAATATTCATCAAACAATACTACACTTTATAACTTGTAACATTGTCCTACTTCACCTGTATAATCTAAACACAAACATGTACATTTTTGTTCTCATAAACAATGAAACTAATAGCGTAACAATAAAATAGTAACCAGCAGTATGGAGTAACTACTTCAGTGAACTTCTCCTATATCAATTTTGACGAGGAACTGGAGTTATCGAGGTCCTCGTCAAACACTTACGTGAGTAAGCCGAAAACGTAATAATTAATTTAGTATGTTCTCCTATATCTTTGAAAAACAACTTCATATTATGATAGGTAAGCTTCAACTTTATTCTGTCCCCTAAAAACTTTTCTAAAACTAACAAGACTTAAACGCCTCAATAGGGGATTCCCAGAACTCTACATAAATATTTGTGAATGAACAACAGTTGCTTACATTGACGTTGTGTTTGTGACTCACTGTGGTATGTGTACTAGAACAGTAGTACTCTGTTAAAACTGTTTGATAAAATTGTTCCCTGTGCCAGTTAGAAATCGTTTAGTCTAGTTGCCGAAATGGTATGTACAGTTCCTGTCTACTTAAAAACATTAACCATTTGTTTTTTAGTCATTGTATGTGAAAGAAGTCTTGAAACATTTTGTTATGTATTATAAGTGTTAATTTCTATAATTTTATGTATTTTTTCTGTTAGATTACTCTTAAAATATTTTATAACTAATTAGTTTACAAAGCATTTGTACAATTCGTACACTTGTAGTTGATGTTGGAGTGTGCAGAGAAAAGGTCACTCGGATAATGTAACTATAAAGTTTATTGCACCCAAGTGTAGTACAGTATAGCACAGTTGGCAATTCCTTTCTCATTAGGTGTTTACTTCGTTGTTAGTAAAAACACACTCTGCTCGATAATTACTTGACATGTGATTATATAACTAAGCAATATCGCGCGATCGTACCGATCTTCCGATCAGCGAAATATCTATGTACCGTTGAAGACTGTACAGCATTATTGAAAGTTAGTCATTAGTTTGTCAATTAGTGAATCTAGACGTGCAGAGCAAGAATCTCCAATAGTGGCGTAACTTCAGGGTGGCAAGTCGACAAAATGCTACGGACCCCGAGCTGGGTGGGCCTGGAGTCCATTTTCAGAGATTCTCATTAGAATTATTCTTTATTATATTAGGAAAAGGGGCTTATCAAGTCAATTTGCCGCAGGCCCCGGACGGGAAAGAAACAGAGCCACTAGCGACTTTTTCATTTATCGAACACTAACTTTTAAAAGACTATCCCTTTAACAACAAAAAGCTCTCATTCTTAAAGTAACTAAACTTACTTTTATACGACATACGTTACCTATTATTAAAGTACTTGTATCTGAAAATATTTCTCAAGAAATGAAAAACACTATAAGCTAATGGCTCCTTTTCTTTGCTACGGCAAGTGTTGTTACGCCACTGATCTCCAAATCTCCAATATAATATTACGTGATAATATCCATAGTTTCACTGTTCAAATACATACATAACATCAAGCCTTTTATCCGCGAGGGGTATGCAGAGGCGCACATTACGGCACTTAATGCCACTATACAATGCAATACCAACTTTACACTGTTTATGTTATGAGTTCCATATAATAGGGGGTGAGCCTATTGCCATATACCGGGCACAGTTCCAGGCTCCGTGCTACCACTGAGAAAAACCCAGTAATACTTTCGACGAGGCAGTCACACTGTTCTGTTCGAATAAAAGTTAGTATAACATAATAATATTTCCACAGTCATCATCAAGCCCATCAGTATCTACGAGTGGAGAGCAATCTCAGTCACAGACAGATGAGAGCAAGGCCCAGAACAGTAGCACGGCTGAAGCCACCAACGTTGAGGACGAGAGGAAGCAACAAGCCGCGCGGACGCCGTGCTTCGCTGACACTGGTGAATGTTTTACTAAATTATGGGGAATTTTTTACAGCACCTCTATTTAGTAATTTAAGCAAACTAAATTTCTCCATTAATAACCTACTGCATATCAAAAAAATAAAGCGTAAAACAAAAATACTGATTTGCACACTAATTGTTCAATATTAGGTTAGGTTTGTTTTTTTTTTTGTTGTTTTTATATATATTGTTGCACTCGAAGAATTATTAGATTTACTTTTAGTTAAAAAATAGTCATTCAGTAAAACAGTTAAGCTTTAAAGATCGATCTAACAGTATAGTAAAATTGATTTATTTGATGAGCAAATTTAGTGTGCAATTCAGTATTTTTGGTAGTAATTTCAAATATTTTGATTGAAAAAAGGGAATTTTCAGTTAAAGTATTAAATACCATACCACCCCTAAATTATCATGATATTTTAACTATACAGTCAAAATACTTAAACAAACACGTGTCCTTTGCGTATTTAAAAGGCATTTTTAACCTGTTTGCAATGGTCATATTTAATTGTTTATTGTTTTGTCAACAGTGCTACAAAACCAGCAAATAATGCAGAAGTTCTACAGGACACTCTCGATATGCGATGGAATGAATACTGCTTCTTTGAATTCAGGTAAATTTCAATTAATTAGAAATGATATTTATTTAAAGGAAATATTGTGTTGATTTTGTAATTATATTTACATTATAATTATTTTTATTCATAACTAGCAAACCCGGCGAACTCCGTTCCGCCACCAGTTGGCTTCGTTTTATGTAACATTTCGTTTGGTGAATAAAAGTGAATTTTCTTTGCTATAAACCGCACGGACCCCGAGACCTTTCCAACGAATGCAAAACCGTAAAAATCAGTTCGTCCGTTCTGGAGTTATAGCGTCAGGAAGGAAAACCCAACTTAGTTTTAAATAGTAGATAATGTTTGTTTCACAGGAATGTCTTCAGAACCGTCATCTCTAAAGGAAGAGGTGTTTTGGCTAGTGGCTCACATGGCTACCGTAGCCTCGAACCCCGCTCTCATGGTCACCAGTCTCATGGAGTTCCTGAGTACGTAACTTTGTTATTTATTTACTTATCTATTTGCAGCCATGTTCTCAAACTTATTCAATAGTAGCACAGACAAGATTGGTCCTAGAAAGTTTTATGCAAAGGGAAGTGGAAGGAGGGCAATACGGCCTTTAGTCCTGCTGCGAACGATACACACAGCTAAACATAAATCATAGTGTAGAGTAGCCGTCATTCTGCCTCATGCATGGTTTACCATGACTGTGCTTATTACATGAAACAATTTCATAAATAGTCCTTGAGTTTTAAATTTTACCCGTTTTATCTTGTTTAATACGATTTATAAGTGATAGTAACAGGGCACTGTAATAGAAGAATAAATATATGTATGACTTTTTGTCTTGAATAAGTTAACACAATCCATATTCTATAATTTTCTTACAAAACAGAGAAAGAAGAAGTAGTGAACCTGTCTCAAGCGATGCAGCAGCTCATCATCAGGGTGCTGGAGTATCCGGAGGCACTCTCTGCGTTTATTGACGCTGGTGGAATGGAACTAGCGCTCGAAAAGCTCACCGCCTGTCATCAGGTATGTTACTGAACACGACCGTCTTCTCTTATATTTACCGATAGGAATCATTACTTCCAACTTGTTAATCTGGAAGTCATTGAATAGGGATGATGATGGTAATTGGACCTCCGGTAACCTCACTCACACGACGATACACAACGCAAGCGTTGCTTCACGTCGGTTTTCTGTGATACCGTGATATCACTCCGGTGGAACCGGCACCTTTATGCCGAAGCATGGTTCTCCCACAATTAAATCCACTCTTACAAAGCGGAACATTTCAGAACTAATTCTCTACCTTATTATTTGTTCCAGGCGGGTCCAAGTAATGGTCAAGGTCTAGTCTCCTCCCTGATGAACTACCTGAAGCTACCACCTCAGATGATCAACCTGTCCACGCCGGCCTCCGGTAACAAGAAGAATCAGACGCCTGTTATTGAAACTGCTAACGGATTGGTTAACATGGCACCGTTATGTAAGTATTGATATACATGGGTTTATTTTGAAAATTGTAGTACCTTATGGGCCAATTTTTCAATACTCACATTAATTTTAACTGAAGAACAACTTTGAATATTTGACAATTCTTCCATACTAAAAACTGTCAACTGACAATTTTATTCTTCAGTTAAGAATTAACTGATGATTGAAAAATCGGCCCTTAGTATAGGTACAATATTATAGTTATTTTTCTGAGAACTACAGCAAATACATTGTTTGATTGGATTGGATTATTTTTACTAAGTTTCAGATACTTGTTAGTATACAAGAATATTGTAGCTAACTCATTAATTAGACTAAACTTGAGCTAACATCAATATCGATTTTTTACTTTTATTTGCAGAAATGGTTGGTTTTCGATTAGTTAGTAAATGTAAGTCGTATCCGCAGGCACGGTGTCGTGCGGCAACCCGACGGCGCAGGCCGCGGACGTGCTGCTGGACGGCGGCGGGGGCATGTCGGTGCGCGGCGCGTGCGCAGCGCGGCGCGTGCGCGCGGCGGCCTGGTCCTACCATTTCTTCAGCGCGGACGACGCCAGCCTCGCACTTACGCTCACCATGCCCTATGCCGTGCAACTGCACGAGGTGCAACTGCAGCCGCATCTCACCAGCCTCGCCAGTCAGTGCACAACTCTTATTTAGTTAGGAACTTCATTTCTATACAGATATAGTCCAAATGTTTGTTAGAAGGGTCCCAGCCTTTGATTGCCGACTGAAAACTGTTGAAGGGGCCTAATCCTCCGCTAGCGCCGTTCATCGTTGATTGCCACGTTATCCAATTTTTTTTGAAATGTGAAGTGTTGTTTTTTTTTTCAAATTCGATGCGCAAGACAATATCCTCGACAGACAAGTGGACGTGTATCTTAAAGGTGAATTTGTCTACAGCATGCCCAGGAGCAGTGGCAGTAGAGGCAGGTTGTGGTGGCACACTGGCCCCCCTGGGCCCGCCCCAGAACACAGCCGGGATGACGTTCATCCGGCTGGTAGTAGCGCGGCCTATCGTGTGCACCACTGTGCAGATCCGGCTCTACAAGCCGAGAGACTCCTCCAACATGGGGCTGCTACAGCTTAGGCTACTAGCCGCACCCGCTTTCAATAACCATGCCAGTACTACGCCGACCACGTGAGTATATTCCGTTATATTGATTTTGCTTTTAATATTATGATGATTCCATCGTCGCCCACATGAATGCTTACTACTAATAAGATGGTGGCCGATCGTCATTTTACTAAATGTTTTAAAAAAAATAATTTGGGATGGTGTTTTGTTTTTGATTAAGTTTGTAGTTTGCATATTTGAGTTTGGTAAAAGTGTTGAGTGTAAGTAAGAAAGTATGTCTGTGTGCAGCAGCAACAACTGGGCGTGCGTAGTGGCGGCGTGCACGCGCGCGGGCGGCGGCGCGGGCGGCGGCGCGGGCGTGCGGCTGGGCGGCGCGCGCGGCGCGGGCGCCTGGTGCGCGTGCAGCGCCGCTCATCACGGCGCTGCTCAACATGGACGCGCACGCACACGCCAACGGTCAGTGGCGACCATTGTACCTACTACTTTATATTCTACTAGCTTCTGCCGGCGACTTCGTGCGCGCAATCCCGTTTCTCCAATTCCTGTATTTTCAGGACTTTTTTCTATCATAAGAACCTTCTCCTGACGAAAACAAACCACAACAAAAAAAAAAACAGTCAAATCGGTCTAGCCGTTTTCAAGTTATGGCGTGGTACAACGGAAACGAGTTTCATTTTTATATACATACATATGTCAGAGGTGCACATTACGGCACTTAATGCCACTGTATTGTAACACCCACTTTTCACGATTTATGTTATGAGTCCCATGTAATAGGGGGTGAGCCTATTGCCATATACCGGGCACAGTTCCAGACTCCGTGCTACCACTGAGAAAAACCCAGTAATACTTTGCCCGACCCGGGAATCGAACCCGAGACCCCTTGCCCGGCAGTCGCACTTGCGACCACTCGGCCAATGAGGCAGTCCCGCAATTAATTTTAATGTATATCACCCGGCTCAAAATCGCGTCAGTTCCACCGTAGTGCGATCTAGGCCTTAATCGGAATTACATTTCGAATGTGCTTAAGTTTACCTGCGAGATGTGCCACGCACGGCGCTACTGCCCACAGCGTTCCAAGTGGCGGTGGGCGGGCGCGTGAACGGCAGCATGCGCGCGGTGTGCGAGCTGGTCCGCCAGCTGTGCCGCAGCTGCCCCGAGGGCTGCGTCACGGCCTACGTGCAGTGGCTGGCCGCCGCCGCCGAGCTCTGGCTGCGGCAGAAGGACCCGCCCTCCGCCGCACTCACACACACTCTCGCTTCAGTCAGTACCTTTCATCGTTTACTAAACACTAATTACCCCCAGCCGGCCCTCAAACTACTGCCAACGTACTTGTTTGTGTTGCGAATGTTGATTGCTTACTGTCTGCTGATACATCTGCTTGTGTGCCGTCCTAACCAATAATACGTATTGAAAAAGTCAAATCTAACCTGACTAAATTCACTAAACAGGTTCATTAATTATTATGTTAGAAACTGTTGTAACTACTCAAGAATTCTGTAAGTAGAAGTAAACATAATAAATAATTCTTTTATAAACTACGTTTAAAACAGCCGATTTCAAACCCCTCTTTCTTTGAAATCGGTAAATTAATATATTATCTCCTAACTATAACAATCACATTTCTGAAAACTACACCAATATTGGTTCAGGCAATCGCGAGATAATTCCGCGCAATCATACGTACAGCTTAAACTGAGAACTTGTTTTTTTGTAGTCGGTTATAATGTATTATTAATCCATAAATTCACTTGGTATCAATTTTTCCCCAGGTATTATGGACATTAAAAGAGAAGAACATTCTAGAATACTTGGAGGACCTGATCACGGACGACTTTTTCGAGCTAGTGTACACTTGGGTCAAGGATGTGCCCGAAACTAGTCTACTCAAGAAATCATTAGACGCTAGTCAGTATTACACTTTTACCTACAATATACAACTTATGATGATTTATATATGTTATAACTTTGTAAGACATACTAACTTAATTATTATGTTTTTCGGCTTACTCACGTAATTATTTGCCAAGGAACTCGACTAGTTTCAACTTTCAAGCCATGTTAGAGGTTCATATACGTATTTATGAGCAGCATTTCGCGGCCTGCGACGCGGCGACATCAGTAGCAGCGCGACAGTAGCAAACTGAAAAACATAATAATTAATTAAGTTGATTTAGTTTTTAAAATAAGAGTTTCAAAATACTCTACGTTGTGTATATGTATATCACCTCCGATCTATTCGTTAAATGTCGTCAATAACTTATACATCATGAAATCTATTTCGTTTTCGTCTCGAAGTATAATGGTTCGCTGTCTTGGTAATACAGTTTTACAAGAAATGTGGTGAACCATTGCATAAAGCAAATTTCGAAAGCGCATACGAACTCTTAGTACATTATCAAAACATCACGCCATGTACTTCTCGAAGAGATATTTCTCATCGGGTGGCACGTTGGACGCGAATAGTGCCTACAAATGTGTAGTGTTTCATGTGCGTACTTCTGTGATTTTTATTATACTATAAAGAACATGCTTTAAATTTTTGTTTTTACTTTATCGAAAGTACTCCTTATGACAAGTTGTTGTTTTGAAAACGAAATAGATTTCACGGTGTAATCTTGGTTCCTAACATGGTATACGTTTGAAACATTAATTTATGAAAATCTTATTTGTTAGTCCTGTTAAGAAGTTTTGTATTTTCAGTATTATGTTCAATGTGCTACATTCGACCGGAGCTATTCAAGATGCTCCTAGAACACATGGACATCCCTATGGATCAAGACGAAAGGTATGCAATGATGTTTACAAGAATTGTATTGTGTATTTTTAATTGATATAATGAATTTCTGAGAGTTTAATTTGTGTACGCCATTGGTCGAAACCCATTATATCCAAGCAAATACTTAATTTTCTTTTTAAATTTTCTTTGTCATAGAATCTATGAGTTTGTTAGAACTGATGCCATTTAGCTCGCCTCCTAAGTAAATATTTAATTGTAACAGTGTTTTTGTATTTGGAATATGTATACGATAGTTATAGTTATAAAAATTTTGTCTCATAGCAATACGGCCAAAACCGCCTCAAATCGATAGATACGATTATCCTGAACTCAAAAATACCAATATCAGACATTTTCCGCGTAGCGTTTGATCTGACCACAAAAACACCAGACAAAAAAAATGTCTCATAGCAATACGTCTGAAAACCTTTTTTATTAGTAAATTTTGGTTATTTGATGCGAAAAAAACAATTTTCAGACGGAAATGTGAACACATTAAATATTGAGACCGTTTTGAAAATGTTAATAAATTTTACCGATCGGTATCATGGCAATATGTCTGAAAATTGTTGGACATGATAAAATAAGTTGTCCACATGTGCAAAAAATGTATATCAGACAAAATAAGTGTAGCACCTTCTCTATCAGACAACTTTTCGATACTCAGATATTTTTGACACAGCAGAAATGGCCTCCCACGCAGTTGCTACACTTTCGACCGTTACTACACACCTAGTCGGGTTCAGAATCATACAATCTAACGATTTTATAGGGTTTTTGCCGTATTGCTATGAGACATGGTTTTGGTCGTCATCTCTCGTACTATGCACAGCGTGGCCGCCGCCGCCATGTCGCCCGCCGCCAGCGCCGCGCTGCTGCGGTCCAGCCTGCCCGCCGCGCTCGTCACCGCCATCGCCGGTACGTACTCTCTGCTCCGCTACATTACTCTGCCCGGCGCTGGCGGCCCGCGCCGGCCAGCTGCACAGCGTGGCCGCCGCCGCCATGTCGCCCGCCGCCAGCGCCGCGCTGCTGCGGTCCAGCCTGCCCGCCGCGCTCGTCACCGCCATCGCCGGTACGTACTCTCTGCTCCGCTACATTACTCTGCCCGGCGCTGGCGGCCCGCGCCGGCCAGCTGCACAGCGTGGCCGCCGCCGCCATGTCGCCCGCCGCCAGCGCCGCGCTGCTGCGGTCCAGCCTGCCCGCCGCGCTCGTCACCGCCATCGCCGGTACGTACTCTCTGCTCCGCTACATTACTCTGCCCGGCGCTGGCGGCCCGCGCCGGCCAGCTGCACAGCGTGGCCGCCGCCGCCATGTCGCCCGCCGCCAGCGCCGCGCTGCTGCGGTCCAGCCTGCCCGCCGCGCTCGTCACCGCCATCGCCGGTACGTACTCTCTGCTCCGCTACATTACTCTGCCCGGCGCTGGCGGCCCGCGCCGGCCAGCTGCACAGCGTGGCCGCCGCCGCCATGTCGCCCGCCGCCAGCGCCGCGCTGCTGCGGTCCAGCCTGCCCGCCGCGCTCGTCACCGCCATCGCCGGTACGTACTCTCTGCTCCGCTACATTACTCTGCCCGGCGCTGGCGGCCCGCGCCGGCCAGCTGCACAGCGTGGCCGCCGCCGCCATGTCGCCCGCCGCCAGCGCCGCGCTGCTGCGGTCCAGCCTGCCCGCCGCGCTCGTCACCGCCATCGCCGGTACGTACTCTCTGCTCCGCTACATTACTCTGCCCGGCGCTGGCGGCCCGCGCCGGCCAGCTGCACAGCGTGGCCGCCGCCGCCATGTCGCCCGCCGCCAGCGCCGCGCTGCTGCGGTCCAGCCTGCCCGCCGCGCTCGTCACCGCCATCGCCGGTACGTACTCTCTGCTCCGCTACATTACTCTGCCCGGCGCTGGCGGCCCGCGCCGGCCAGCTGCACAGCGTGGCCGCCGCCGCCATGTCGCCCGCCGCCAGCGCCGCGCTGCTGCGGTCCAGCCTGCCCGCCGCGCTCGTCACCGCCATCGCCGGTACGTACTCTCTGCTCCGCTACATTACTCTGCCCGGCGCTGGCGGCCCGCGCCGGCCAGCTGCACAGCGTGGCCGCCGCCGCCATGTCGCCCGCCGCCAGCGCCGCGCTGCTGCGGTCCAGCCTGCCCGCCGCGCTCGTCACCGCCATCGCCGGTACGTACTCTCTGCTCCGCTACATTACTCTGCCCGGCGCTGGCGGCCCGCGCCGGCCAGCTGCACAGCGTGGCCGCCGCCGCCATGTCGCCCGCCGCCAGCGCCGCGCTGCTGCGGTCCAGCCTGCCCGCCGCGCTCGTCACCGCCATCGCCGGTACGTACTCTCTGCTCCGCTACATTACTCTGCCCGGCGCTGGCGGCCCGCGCCGGCCAGCTGCACAGCGTGGCCGCCGCCGCCATGTCGCCCGCCGCCAGCGCCGCGCTGCTGCGGTCCAGCCTGCCCGCCGCGCTCGTCACCGCCATCGCCGGTACGTACTCTCTGCTCCGCTACATTACTCTGCCCGGCGCTGGCGGCCCGCGCCGGCCAGCTGCACAGCGTGGCCGCCGCCGCCATGTCGCCCGCCGCCAGCGCCGCGCTGCTGCGGTCCAGCCTGCCCGCCGCGCTCGTCACCGCCATCGCCGGTACGTACTCTCTGCTCCGCTACATTACTCTGCCCGGCGCTGGCGGCCCGCGCCGGCCAGCTGCACAGCGTGGCCGCCGCCGCCATGTCGCCCGCCGCCAGCGCCGCGCTGCTGCGGTCCAGCCTGCCCGCCGCGCTCGTCACCGCCATCGCCGGTACGTACTCTCTGCTCCGCTACATTACTCTGCCCGGCGCTGGCGGCCCGCGCCGGCCAGCTGCACAGCGTGGCCGCCGCCGCCATGTCGCCCGCCGCCAGCGCCGCGCTGCTGCGGTCCAGCCTGCCCGCCGCGCTCGTCACCGCCATCGCCGGTACGTACTCTCTGCTCCGCTACATTACTCTGCCCGGCGCTGGCGGCCCGCGCCGGCCAGCTGCACAGCGTGGCCGCCGCCGCCATGTCGCCCGCCGCCAGCGCCGCGCTGCTGCGGTCCAGCCTGCCCGCCGCGCTCGTCACCGCCATCGCCGGTACGTACTCTCTGCTCCGCTACATTACTCTGCCCGGCGCTGGCGGCCCGCGCCGGCCAGCTGCACAGCGTGGCCGCCGCCGCCATGTCGCCCGCCGCCAGCGCCGCGCTGCTGCGGTCCAGCCTGCCCGCCGCGCTCGTCACCGCCATCGCCGGTACGTACTCTCTGCTCCGCTACATTACTCTGCCCGGCGCTGGCGGCCCGCGCCGGCCAGCTGCACAGCGTGGCCGCCGCCGCCATGTCGCCCGCCGCCAGCGCCGCGCTGCTGCGGTCCAGCCTGCCCGCCGCGCTCGTCACCGCCATCGCCGGTACGTACTCTCTGCTCCGCTACATTACTCTGCCCGGCGCTGGCGGCCCGCGCCGGCCAGCTGCACAGCGTGGCCGCCGCCGCCATGTCGCCCGCCGCCAGCGCCGCGCTGCTGCGGTCCAGCCTGCCCGCCGCGCTCGTCACCGCCATCGCCGGTACGTACTCTCTGCTCCGCTACATTACTCTGCCCGGCGCTGGCGGCCCGCGCCGGCCAGCTGCACAGCGTGGCCGCCGCCGCCATGTCGCCCGCCGCCAGCGCCACGCCGTGAACAACTATCATGTACTTAATGAAATAAAGGAAATATAATATAAGTTTAGATTTGTGACATCATCAGTGATTTATGATAATTGATCTGTTAACAGTACAGTTTAATAAACTTATGTTACAGACTTCAGCGAAGCGAAATTGGAATTGATAAAGGCGCAGAGAAATTCAACAGAAGATGTACAAATGGTGGACCCTGAGAAGGAACCAGGTCAGCCGAAGTCAGAGCTACCCTCGATGAAGACGGTGCATCAGTTGGTGGAGTGGGCGCGAGCTGTCTGCTGGTCCAAGCGACTGAAGGACTGGCTCGGAGGCCCTGGCAGCATATTCTGGAAGCCACTGCTCACCTTACTCTGTTATCCTAGACCTCATTACAGGTACTTGCTTTATCTCTGTAAATAAAAATAAATTATACGACCGAGTTAGAAGGTTTTTATATAAATGGTATTATTAGAACACGATACTTTGTTCAATAAAGTATCGGTGAAAGAAATAACTTGTTTATAAAGTCCGTTAATCAAAACTTTTTGAAGTCGGTTAATTAATATACTAAAACCTTCTCTTGAGCTACACAAACACCTTTGAAAACTGTATCACAATTTATTCAGCCATTCACACTCAATTATACATACATACAAACATACAGATCAAACTGAGAACCTCATTTTTATGAAGTTGGTTAAAAATGATTATACTATTACCTATACAAGGGGGTTATAATCGCATCATAATATATATGTATATATAATCGTGTTATAAACTTTATCTTGATCTGTTCATTACAGTTAACTTCTTAATGTCCATATATAAAAAATCCACAACATTTGTTCATACAAAAGTAGTCTCTAATCATCAGAAATAAGGTTTATAATGGTTGACCAGTTAAGTTTATGAGTGTAGTTTTCTATTGAACATTTCCTGTAGCACTTGAGCCAAGTAGGTCCCACTTGTTCTTAAATATAGACATAGCTAATAGAGTATTACTTATAATACACTTTCTCCAGCAGTAGTTGGCAAGAAGACGCTCAGTACGCCCAGCTGGAGGAGAGTACCATCCGTCTGTTCGCGGAGCTGACAGTCTGCCACCCTGCCAACCAGCAACTGTTTGCTTCCACGCTGCATAGCATACTCGAGGCGCTGCCTAGTAACGGTGAGTAGTCAACTGTGCTTATACGGTGTAAAAGCGGTTTATAAAGATGGTACATACATGTTTTTAAGCCTAATGTACACTGATCGCTTGAATTTGGTTAGCTGCACGATTGGCCGTTTTCCTAATTAAATATTTAATTGCGATATTATAGCCATTGGTAATCGCTTCAGGCGGCTGGCCGTTCGTGCTGATGTTGATACAAATCGCCGCCCAGGCGATTCCATCGATAGTGCTTTACGGTGGCTCCATATTTTATTTATTTATTAACGCTTCATGCGGATAATATTCAAACGAATAATATTCGTAATATTGTATGTTAAGCTTTCCCCAATATATAATGATGTCACGTTATGTATGGTTTCCGGTGCAGAGGGTATCAGCGGGTTCACGCGCGCGCTGATCCTGCGGCTGGTGCTGTCCCCGGAGCGCGTGTGGGTGTCGCTGCGCTGGGCGGAGGGCGGGGCGGC